AAAAAGCTAATGGTGGTTTCAATAAAAACGTCGCGTTTCCCTCCTCCTAATTTACAATTTGACCTATAAAAGAAAAGCGGCGTCACCTTTGCAACAATAACTTAAATTAATTGGCAAGAGGGAAAGAAAAGCGCGCACGCGACTACTCTACAGATTTTCTGTGCAAATGTGTGCTCGAATCGTGCATTAGCCAGGGAAATCCTCCAACCTTAAAATAAAAAATGAAATAGCACAAAATAAAAACAAATCCACTGGAAAAGCCTTTTTTCAATTGAAAACAACAGATAATTATTGATTAATTAGAAGAAAAGAAGTCAATTAGTGAATCTAAAACTCTTAACTATTAAATATATGATAAATGCAACAAATTAATAAATTGTATGTTTCAAAATTGGCAATATTGTAAGGTGAAATCAGTGGCTCAAATTATTATGAAACTTAAAATTTAACTTGCAAAAGTGGAACTACAATTTACACCTACTTTGTTTTATTTAAATTTTGAATAAACTTTGAATGTGTTTGTTTAATTTGTGATGATTGGGTTTCAATTGATTTGGAATTTAAATAAATCTAAAAAAATCCACAACTATTTCGTTTGCTTCTTTTTGTCCAGAATTGTAGAAAATAAACCTCAATTTTCTTATTTTAAATTGCATTTTTTTCCAATTTTCGTCGCATAGCTTGGGAAATAAATTGAAACCATAAATTTTCAATTATTCGTCTTGCAAATTAAATAATTTCCACCAAAGGAAAATCGATTATCTGATTTAAATGTTTGGAGGAGAAGAATTTATTTAATAAATTTTTACCGTTTGGTTTAAAATTTTTTTGCTGTAGAAGTTGTAAATGAGCTCGGTTGAGGTGTTCCCCTGTTAGTTGGGTGGTTTAACGAGCGGGGATGAATGTGCGGGTCCGCGTCGGTGACATCGCGAGAAGGCATTCGAGCTGTGCCATGCATGAATCGCCGCGCGTCGTTGGAAATATAATTTGTCCGCCGCTTTTTGCGAATATTATAATTTGTCGTGCCTCGGCTCGTAACAACTTCTAATCGTGCAATTCTTCCTGCTCGAAAGCTGTTTATTATTTCTCAGACCACATACCCACTAAATTATGCTAATTCCGCTCATGCACCGAAGAAATTGTTGAGCGTCTTTTGTTTACGGCATGCAAATTCGAGGCCTGCAGCGAATTCGACGAGTCATTCGGCACTATTTTCTGATTTCCACCAGAATTAATTAAAAACTCGCGCCGCTCCAATAAATTTCCATGCTCACAAAAAGAATAGCTTGTTAAACAAACTTCATTCTTGTTCGCAACTCGCGTAGAAAACGTAAACGGGGTGATTCCCATTCAAATCGCGCAAAAGTTTACTTTCCGCAAAACAGTCTCATTCCTTTAAAAAACAGCACGGGCAATTTTATTTTGATTCTGAAAGTGAAAAAAACGAAAGTTTTATGTGCCAAATAACACAAATTTAGTTGGTATTTGAATTTTCCTACCAAATTCTTGTGGTTAAAATTAATTTATTGTCCAACCGAATTGAGTGAATTTAGAACCAATTTGAAACTTTCACTCAAAGTTTTATTTCATTTATCCGGAAAACGAATTTAATAATGGTTTTTAAGAGGAGGATTTTTAAGTTTAATGTATTTAAAGATAACAAGAGTTACAAAAAAAAAAAAACAATAACACCGGTGATGTTCTTTAATGGGTCCCAAAATCCATTTTTTTCCCGGAACTTTTATTGCAGACGGGATATAAAAAAGACATGAGAATTATATTTGACATGCGGCCAGTTACAAATGGTTAAGCACTGGTTTTTTGCTGGCGTGTGAATGATATGCCGCCGACAGACACATGCATGGTACACGTTGTAAAATGAATGAAAAGCGTGACACCGCGGAGAGAGAGAGAGAGAGAGAGAGAGAGAGAGAGAGAGAGAGAGAGAGAGAGAGAGAGAGAAACAGGTGCTTCCTTCATCCTGCGCTCCACGTTTCGCTGCAGCGACTAAACACACGTCGCTTCATTTCATTCGTCGCTGCACCTGATGCGCCTCGCATTCACACAGAACCGAATTTGCAATCAATCAAACCGACGCCAACACAAGAGTAAAAAACAAAACTGTAAACTTCTATTGAAACTTCAATCTTGAAGTTTTAGTTCCCAACATACAAAAGATAAAATAAGCTGGTAATATTTCTGCATTGTGCATTTAGGGCAATAAAAAACCATGGGTAGGGCTCGGAATGCAAGTCAATGCCATTTTTCAAGCTGAAGTTTTTAATTGGAAACGAATTAAGGCTACTTTAAAATAATTTTTATTTTTTAAATTTCATCATCTCTCATCTGACTTTAACTTTAGGAAAACATGTTTTATCAAAGAGATTTTTGTCTTTAATTTCCAAAATTATTTATTCCTCATGATTCTCTGTATTTTTTAATTCAGATTAAAATATAACCATTTTTTTTTTAATTCCATATATTGATGAAGCTCGATTGATAAAGTTTATGTTTTAAAGCTTTAAATCAACATTTGAGTGGAGAAGTTTTCGCTCAAGAAGAGCCGTTTGTGGAGTGAAGAAAGCGTGCTTTGTCCTTGTTGAAAAAAAATTTTTCGTTCAAGGCGAAAGGCTCTACCATTTTTATAGACAAATGGAAAATTCACGATGCTCCGTTTTGTGTTAATATTTTATGAATTTACAAATAAAGAAATTTGAATATAATCATTTTTTTCTGCTAAAATCAAATTTTCAGAGGGAAAATTGCAACTAATAAGTACAAATTATAAAAAAACTCCCTATTTTAATTTTTGTGCTTTGCTTTCACCGATTAATGAAGCTCTTCAAAAATTTCTACGAAAATTTGAATTGCAGAAAACTGTGATGTGTCAAATAAAGGTTTTTGCGGTTTTTTGCCTTCCAAACATTTTTCAAGACTAACAATATTGTTAGATCAACACTTTAGAGAACATTAAAATGGTTTTTTTTATTACACCTTCAATTAAACTCTCATAAAAATTGATTTTTATTTATATTTTTTAAATGGGAGAGTTTTGTTTGTTTGGCGTTTTGTTTACGCATTTGATGGTGGTTGTTTTGGTGGGCGCGATTATCATAAAGCAAGGGTCATTATTCACCCCTCGAGACGAAGTCGTTGCGAATCTCGGCGTTGCTGACTGTGTGTGTGTGGAGGCGCCGTAATTACGCGCGGGGTGCGCGCGTGTCTCGCGAATAAATTCGTTGCAATTAAAAGCGCTGCCATTTTTTCTCGGGCTGCTCTCAAGACGAAGGAAAGAGGAGAAAAAAATCATTACGGGGTGCGCGTCTCTCTCCGGCATGTGCGTTTGCTCGTCGCCGGGAATAAATTAACGGGATTGATTAGTTTTCACGCGTCAGCAGCGTCATCATTTTTTATGCTCGCGAGTGTACTAACTAAACAGCGGGGCCGAAAAAGAAGAAGAAGAAGCAGGGCTGCTGCTGATGAAAATGTATATAAACTCTTTTGCATATGTCTTGCTGCAGCCCCACTCTCTCTCTCTCCATTCTTATATTTCTCTCTGCTGCTGCTCTCGCCGCTCATTTTCTCTTCATCTCCTACTCTCCTCTCTTAGCTTTATTGATTTTTCGTTGGTACTCATCAAGAACCCTTCCTTTCCTTAGTAACTACATCTATAAGATCTTCTCTTAACTCACCCGCCACTGCTGGGGTGGCTGCGCCGCCGCTGCCCAGGAACAAAATTTTACAACACACAACACACACACACACCGACCGACCGACCCAAGACCGCCCCACACTTCCCCTCCACACGCGGATGCAAATCTTCGAGGCGCAAATCTCCCTGCTTGGCTTTCTTTTTTCTCGCAATTTTAAACCCCTGCCTGCCCTCTCAGCCGCACTTCACACCCTATCTTAAGCAATCCGAGAGCACCTTCCGATTTCAAGATTAGACATAATTCAACCAAAATTTCATGCACTTGATGATCATCTTGGTACATATGAGTCTATTGACAAAAAAATGAGTAAAAGTTGAAAAAAATTTAGTTGAAAAACAAAAAATGCAAATAAAATTGAAAAGGACGTACAAAAATCTTGCGATTCTAGAGTAAAAGAGTCGCATTTATAAAGAAATTGAGCAAATGGAATGGCCTTTTTTGGCATGGAAATTTAAACAATTTTATTTTGATCAGCAAAAAGGAGTTTTTTTTTTCATATCGCAAACCAGATTTTAAGCAAGGGGGTATTAAATAAACCACTTTCTTAAAAAAAAAACTAACTAACTAGTACATGTATTTTCTGTGTAATTTATTTGCAGAAGAAAACTGTGTTCTCTTGGTAAGACAAGAGGGCCAGGAGGCAGAGCACCCCGATTATGATGAAAATTATACTAGGCAACTTGCACTTCAATTAGTTTAATTGGTAACGCTGGTGCGTTTATTAATTGTTGCTTTAATTTTTTTCAATGGAATAGTAATGAAGATAAGACAATTATTAAAATACAGGCAACAAAAGCGTCCACTGTGATTTTTTTGGAAATTTTTAGCCGACATGTTATTTTCAAATTTTATTCAAATTATGTGAAAAAATAGAAGCAAAAAAATGGGGCAAAACTTAAAAGCTCTTCTCAATTACTCAAGGGTGTAGTAGAAATTGTGAACAACGAACTTCCATCAAAATCCCCTTCTTCAAATAATAATACTACTTTGTGCGAGTGGAAAATTAATTGTAAATTAATGTAGACATAAATTGCCATGAAATTTCTCTTTTAGGTTCATTTGTTATTACCATTGCTGTTTATTTTTAAAAATTATTGATGAAATCATATTTCATGTAATGTTAATTAAATTTGAATAAACGAATGCTTTTAGCTAAAGAAAACATGCAGTTTATCAAATATATAATTGCAAATTGAAAGACTTTTCGGAACGACGTGTGTGAATTTGCAACACACGCGACATACATTTTAATGTCTAGACTTTTCAAAAAGTCTTAGGTTAATTATACTTATATAACGCTGCGAGTTACCTTTTAAAAGGTCTACGCTATAATACCGGCCTGCAGCCACACTGTCGGCGTCGGCGGATTCAAACAAGATTTTTTGCTTTAAGAGTTTCTTTAAAAACACGCTGGTAAGGGGCACGCAAAAGTTTCACTAACAGAGAAATTTAAATTGCATTTAGAAATCCCTTTTTTCACCTGCGTGATTCTTCATTTTCATTTTAAATTTACCAGGCCAGAATGAATCCAGTAGTGGAAATCGTGGAAGACTTGGGAAAAGGAGCTATCAACGCAACCACGAATGCCGTGGAAGGAGTGGCAAAGACTTCCACCGCCTTGGTCAGTGGCGTCAGCGACACGGTCACCGGCACTGCCGATTTGCTTGAAAAAGTCCACCGAGACTGTGATAACCCGGTCCTTGCAGCTCTTGCAACCCCAGGTCTTGTGGTTGCAGGAGTCACAGTCGGCGTTGCGAAAACTGTCGGCAACGTTGCAGTTGAGGTTGGAAACACTGTTTTAAGCATCTTCGATGGTATTGCAAGTATTTTTTAGATTATTTGCAAGTTGTCATAAAATTTTCCATCAGCAAATTAATGAATAAAAAAAAATCACTTATAGTTTAAAAATAATTTAATATTTATATTTAAATTAATTCTATCACTAAATTTTGGATGAAATTTTGATAACTTCTGTACATTTACTGTCATGGTAATAAAAGATTAAAGAATTACAATAAAATTGAATGAAAAACAATAAATCTGAGCGTTTTATTATTATAAAAAACCTCGTGATCAACAAGACTAATATAGAATATTATATTTTCTCAACCAAATATTTGCACACTTTTATTCTATTAAAATATAAAAAAAATTAATAAATTTGCACGGCCGGTGCAATTTGTTGAAATCATTTTTTAATAAACGCTTGCAAAATGTGAGTCGGCCGACTGGTATCAGACCTGCTAGCGCTGCGAGTACCAACATCATTTTGTTGTTCTTAAAAATAGCGCGTGAAACCGACTGTCCGCTTATTTTGAAGCCGAGAGTACAATTACTAGACTTTCGCGTGTGAGCGAAGCAATTTCGCGAAAAGGTCTAAGGTTTACAATCTTCATATGAATGATGCTCACCGCCTCGCATAGAGCAGATTTTGATTCGCATCGCAACTATAATTAAACTACGCGGCTGAAAGTCTCGCAGACGCGCGGACTCCCAAATAAGAAGGACTTTGGCCTTTAACGCAGGAGTAATTCCTTGGAAATGCCGGTAAGGAGAATATGTATATGCAAAAGTTAAAATAATTATTTTAATACAAAAGCATTTTACTATCAAAATATTTTGATTTAAATAATTATTATTTACTTTTTGAATTTTAAGAAATTTATTTTGGAAATATTTGAGTGACAAATATAATAAATTCAGTTAATATCAGACTCTAAGTTTGGGATATTTTCCTCGTATATTTATAAACAATGCTTGCATTTGCAGTTCAGTTCAAGCTCAAGCGACTCAAAAAGAGGAGGTTTTGTTCCTTACCCAGAGGATGAGCCTGATGACATCGTTCGTTATGGAGAAGTCTTCATCATCAGGAGAGGCGTCAGTTCTAAAACAGACAAAGAAACACCGTTTCATCACTGGGCTATTGCGATCAAATTTGAAGCTTTTTGGGTTGTCATTGAAGGTACAGTGCGAAAAGTGTTTATAACTTTTTTTTATATTTTACATGATATGTATTTAATGAAAGGTGACAACGATGGACATTTCTTGGTGCCAGGCTATAACAAATCAACGTCCACACCCAGCGGCACCCTGATTAGTATGAAATCTGAGGAGGTTGGCCCATACACAAAGGGTTCCCCGGAATTGATTTTGGTCATCACGCAGTATCTCAAAGCAGCTTCGACAGTGAATCTGAGCTTTGTAAAAATTTCGCCCAAGCAGTTGCACGCCTTGGCCGGAAGTATTCCGAAAAAACCGTACGTCCTTGGGATTAATGATTGCCAAACGTGGTTTCTGGACGCTCTGGACAAGTTGCAACACTTTGAAGTTGGCGACAAGGAATTTCATAACCGGGTCAAGGATGTTGGAAGGTCATTGGTAAAAGCGGCAACTGTGCCTGTGCTCAAAGCGGCTGGTACGTACACAAATGCCGTTCACGAAGTAGCCCAGACCATAGACAGAGTTTGCAACGGAGACGAATTTGCTCCCAGCGCCATCGTCGATGGAGTCGGCAAGACGACCAATTGCGTCATCAACGGAGCGTCCGAGACCTTTGCTGGAGCTGTGAATGGAGTGGCTGATTTTGGTGTCAACTTAATTGGTCTTGCTACCGGTGGATGCGCTACGAACAGCGGTGCAAGATCAAACGGCGAAACTCTGAACCGTGAGGTGGCTGCAGGCAGAATGGGTCCAGTTGAGGCAACAGTGAAATGCGTTGGAAAGGGCGCTGGACTGGTGGTCTATGGAGCCGCCAACGTTACCATAAATGCCGTCGGAGGAGTGGCAAAGACTGCAACCACCTTGGTCAGCGGCGTGAGCACCACGTTCTCCGACACCGCCGATTTGGTTGCAAAAGTCCACCGAGACTGCGATAATCCGGTCCTTGCAGCTCTGGCAACCCCAGGAGCTGCGGTGGTAGGAGTCTCGGTAGGTGTTGCGAAAACTGCAGGCAATGTTGCAGTTGAGGTTGGAAACACTGTTGTAAGCATCTTCGATGGTATTGCAAGTATTTTCTAGATTAAATAATTTTTCCTAATGGTAAAAGTCTCAAACAAGCGATGATAATGAAAGGATTTTCTATTTATATTTAAAAATAATGTAGGATTTTCTAGTTATTTAAAATCAATGTAAAATTTTTGTAAAAACTTATACTGTGGTAAAATTTAGAAGAATTAAAAGCATTTGCATGTAAGGAGCAAATAAAGTTTCATTTTTTAATATTATTATTTTTGACTTATTATGCCTCAATAAAAAAGGATGGATGAAATTTTTTTTTTTTTAATTATTATTATTATTATGCAGAGTTGTACTGTCAATTTTTTTTAGCTGCAACTTACTTAAATATAAATTGTTAAATTTTTTTATAAATTTCAACTATATTTAATGAGCGCTTCACAGGGCCATAATTATGTACTGAATAAATTGTAAAAGTTTCCAAGTGAAAAGTTTAAAGCAATAAGTAAAATTTGTAACAAAAAAATAATAATTAAAATTTGTATTAAAAATTTGGCTTAATTTTTAATTGAAGATGTAAGAGTAAAAGGCTCTCTCTCAAGCTTTAAATTCAAATTTAAAGTAGCTGCAGATGTAATTAATTAAAATTATACACTGATTCCATGATATTCAATTCCTGCTTTTTTTTTATAAGTGCTGCAATTTAAATTAAAAATCACATAATGTTTTGAAAGAATAAAATTCAGTTTTTTTTTTAGCTTCGAAATCACAAATTTTTATCTTAAAAGATGACTCATGAGTTATAGAGGTGCTTAAAACGCAGAAGATTAGTTATTTATTGGATATAAAATACAAAATATAAAAGTTAATTGATAAAACATTCTTTTTCTTTGAATTCCATTTCATCGAGATTGTAAGTAGTTCTTGAGCGCCCATTATCCAACAAAAATTTTTATTATAAATTTTAGTAGCAGATAGCCATAAAAAAGAAAAAAAAAACAGAAATTGTTAAATAAAAAACATACTTTATTTATTTATTAATTTCGTTTCTTTTTAATCGTTTCATTAATCTAATACTTAGTTTGCTGCCGAAAAAAATTCACATGACAAGATTTTTAGGGTTACGAGAGTATGATAAAATGAAACATGCATTTAAAAAATCTACAGCCCAGCCCACTATACTCAATGTGGTTATTATACACAAGTACAAAAATACGTGAAGCCAAAGTTTCAAACTGTGCTCGCACGAAGCGCGAAGCCACACGCCCCATCGTGACCGTGCTGTTGTTATTATTTTCTCAAATCAGCTGCTGGCGAGACGCATAGACATATAATTCACCTCACCTGTATGTAAAATTTCCACGCCCTCCGCGCTCTATTGGGTGAGCGCATCACGTGACATTCATCCCAGGTACACTTTTGAAACGAAAGCGCGCTAAAACTCAGCACGCGGGCTTATACACTGGCTCAATATAAAATATAATATATAAGCGATCAATTATTTTATTCAATTTAAGCAGCATTAAATTAAGAAGGCGATGAAATTTCCAGGTCGTTTGACTAATGGTTAAGATAGAGATTAATGATAATTTTGTCATTATTTTTTTAATAATACTGAAATTTTTGTAATAATTTGAATTATTAATTTATGAATTTTTTTATTCAACACGTAGAATTAAAAAATTTAGGCAGTATTGGAAGTGTTCTTTAGAGGCTGACAAATCAAGGAAGTGGTGAATTTTATTGGTTAATAATTAGTCTGGTGCATTCGACGGCTTCGGCGCCACTCATTACGCGGAGGTGACGCTCGTCGCGCAGAGCGCCCTAATGGCAATCGTCTGGGGCACCTCGGGCATAATTACCGGCGTTATGAATCATCCCCGCATGGAAATGCACTCACAAAGTGCTTGCACACTCATTCTGAAGAAAATTTCCAAGCATGGAAGATGGCCCGTCCACCTCCAAAGACTTTCAAGAGGTAGGTTAAATTTGATATGTGCAGTAAATTAATTTTTTTTTAATCAATGAATTAAAATTTGAAAAAAATTGCAACATATTAAAACTTTGATAAAATTAAAGCTGGTCGACGAAAATGAAGAGGATGATCGATTTGGCGACTTACCAGCTACACCATTTGCCAAAAAATACAAGGCTCTTGTGCATCATCCAGGCCCAATTGAAAATCCATTCAAAAGACCAGCTGGAAAAAGTGTCAATCAAGAGTTACGGAGAGCAATACTCTCCGCTCATTTCACTTTAATTCGGCAACCTGGTGAAAACCGAAGCTACACCCAATTAGCAACGCAAACAGCATTATTGTTGGGGGTAAGGAAATTTTTTCTTTCCTTAATTTGGACAAAAATGATTTAAAAATCTAATAGGTTTCCGAGAGGACGGTTTTAAACGTGCTCAAAACTGGAGAAAAGATAGAAACACCGAAAAAAGGATTAAATAGGCCAGCACCAGTTACTGGAGTGGACTCCTTCACGTTAAAATGCATTCAAAACTTGATTTATGAAATGAAGAGAAAAGGTAATTATTGAAATTATTTAAAATATCATTATTTAACTTATCCTACTAATTTAGTTTTGGCTTTAATATCAGGCAATTTAAATATTGAGTTGTAAATTTATTTTAGTATTTTAGCAACAATTTTTTTTAAATTAAATAATTTATAACTTGGCACTTTCTATTTATTAGGTGAGCACACAACTATAAATACTGTCATGGATCGGTGTGTCGCAAGGAAACTGTTTGAAGGCAGTACTTCAAGCCTACGGAGATTGCTAAAAGATGAGCTAAGCTTCTCCTACCGGAAAACTGACTTCCGGGAAAAATTCAAACAGACGCCTCAAAACATAGCATGGAGAAGGTAAATATTGAATAATTAAAAAACTGGCTGAAATTTTACTCTTGTGTAAAAATTCTATTTTTTTAAGTTGTCGATCAGTATTAATCAAATTTTCAAAATTATTCTAAATTTTTTCTCTTTTTTCTAGAACTTTTCTGAGGCGTTATTTGAAGCTAAAAAAACTGGGCTACACATTTATTTTCCTGGATGAGACCTGGATTTTTCAAAATGGGTCCAATGTGGCTTTTGGTTGGTTTGACGGAAGCTCGGAAGCAGTCGGCAGGGTGAGAGCCTCAAATGGGAAACGATTCATAATTGTGCACGCTGGAAGCGCCGACGGCTTCGTAAAAGGAGCTAGTTTGATTTTTCCATCAAAGGTTGCCCATATGGACTATCATGGAGACATGTCTGCTGACTATTTCATGAAATGGGCGATTGATCAATTAATTCCCAACCTGCCAGAAAAATGCTGTATAGTGATCGACAATGCCAGCTATCACTCAACTGTGGTGAGTTTTCTTTAAAATTGATTATTATTTAAACTGAAAAACTAACTTAAGTAATACCACACCTGAAAATAAAAATAAATATAATTCAGTAATAAGACTTAACACATGAAATAATCAAAAAAAAAAAAATTGCAGCTTGAAAAGAGGCCTGTCAAGTCTCGGAGCAAAGCTGAACTCAAGGAATGGTTGGATGAAAATAAAATTCCTTTTGATCCAAAACTCAAGAAGAAGGAAATGTTTGAGCTTTGCTTAGAACACGTTTCAGACGAACAAAGGTATATTTTCATAAATTTTTAAATTATGAATATATTAACAATTATTTTCTCTTTTTAATTTCTAGCTATGTTTTTGACTACCTGCTGGAGAAGAATGGCCATGTTGTTCTTAGGAATGCTCCATACAACTGCATTTACAATGCAATTGAGCACATCTGGAGCACAACCAAAGGAAAATACAACAAACTCATTCTTGAGGTGAATGAAAGTCATTCGAAGGAGGTGGTGATAGCAACTTGGGAAAGAGCACTTCGTGAGATCCCTGAGGATGCCTGGAAGAACAGTGTTGCCCATTGCGAGAAGCTCATCGAGGAGCACTTCAAGCAGGAGGGCCTGACCTTGGAGTCCCCCAACAAAGTGGTTGTTGACCTGGGTGACTTCGACTCGGACGAGGAGCTGGAACCTGCCATCCAGGAGAGAAAGAAGCAGATTGCAGAAAAGGCAGCAGCGGACACTAGGAGGAAGGAATCGTTGCTGGAAAAGGTACAAACTTAAAAAAAAAACTAAAATAGATTAACTGAAAATTAATTTCAGCGACTCCATGAGTTAAATGAGCAGTTCGAGGCCAAACGGCCGAAGAAGAAGGCCACGCGAAGGAAGCTTCTAAGTGAGTCGGCTGTGCTGTGAGTGAGCGCTATGTGCTTGTAATGTAAATTAGATCTCAAATTAAAAAACTGATCTCAATAAAAATTTACTATTGGTTTAATTATTTTCAATTTTTCCTAAAATTATAAATTTATTTTTATGGTCATGTCAAAGTTCAAAGACCACACCACACAGAATTTTCATCCATCGCCTTCTTAATTTTAAAATATTAGCTGCTTGAATCGAATTTTCCGGAATTTAATAATATGAGAGTTATATTTTTTTATATGAAGGTACTGTATAGGCCCACGTGCCGAGTTTTAGCGCGCTTTCGTGAGAAAGCAGTATCAGTGGTACATATCACGTGACACGCTCGCCCAATGGAAGAGCGCGGTGGCAACTGAGAGGGCGTGGAAATTTTACATACAGGTGAGGTGAATCCGACTACACCGCCACATACGAAAGCTGAACGAAGTCGGTCCAAATTAATTAAGTCGATATTGAAAATCCAAAATTACCAGAGTAATTACCAAGACTTTAAATTTGGAACAAAAGTTTTTACCTTTAATTAAATTACGCAACGACGACGTAACTGATGCAGCCGCCGGATTCAAAGAAGGACTGACTTAGACTTTTCACCCATACATTTCTTTCAAAATAATGCCGGTAAGAAAAAAGTACTTATCAAACTTATCAAATTTTATGAATAGAGGACCTTCAAATTATAATTACCACGATAGCCACGATATATGTTTTGCCGCGCGTCTGGTCTAATAATTTTTAGTAAACAATCTAAAAGATTATTTTGTTTTAATTATTATTATTATGGGTTTTTGCATCATAATTTTTTTTTGTAAGTTAAATGACTTTTATAAAATCTTTTTGCAGTTTACCCACTTTAATAGCTCAGGCGTGAGCGACTCGAAAAATGGGGGTGTTGTTCCGTACCCTGAGGATGAGCCTGACAACACTCCCCGCTTTGGCGAAGTCTTCATCGTCAGGAGAGGAGTAAATTCAATGAATGATGATGAAACGCCATTTCACCATTGGGCTATTGGAATCAAATTTGGAACATTTTGGGTTGTCATCGAAGGTATGTTGTTAGATCAAAACTATTTGACTCGGATTTTAATAATTTGCATGAAAATTTCTCAGGTGACAACGATGAAGGATTCTTAGTGCCAGGCTACGCCAAATCAGTGATAAGACCAAGCGGCACGCTGATCAGCATGACATCTGAGATTGCAGGGCCGCACACCAGAGGCTCCGTGGAAATGCCCAAAACTGTTCTCCTGGTCATCACGCAATATCTCAAAGCCGCCTCGATCATCAATCTGAGCTACGTGCAAATTTCACCCAAGCAGTTGCACACCTTGGCCGGCAGCATTCCGAAGAAACCATACGTCCTTTTGGGATCACCGATTGCCAGACCTGGTTTCTGGACGCTCTGACCAAGTTGCAACACTTTGAAGTTGGAGTCAAAGAATTCAACCGTCGGCTGATGGACGTTGGAAGATCGTGCATGAAGACGGCAACCGTTCCTGTGCTCAAAGTGGCTGGCACTTGTACTAATGTTGTTCACGAATTAGGCGACACGGCCGGCAGAGTTTGCAAAGGAGAAGAATTTGCTCCGAGCGCCATTGTCGATGGCGTCGGCAAGGCGGCTAACTGCGTCATCAACGGTGCGTCCGAGGCGTTCGCTGGAGCTGTGAACGGGGTGGCTGACCTAGGGGTCAATTTGATCGGAATCGCAACAGGAGGATGCGCTACAAAGGGTGGTGCCAGATCCAATGGTCAAAGTTTGAGACGTGAAATGTCCATAGGCACGATTAGTCCTGCTGAGGCCACTGTGAAGGGAATTGGCAAAGGAGTCGGATGCGTGGTCTACGGAGCCGCCAACGTTACCACAAATGCCGTCGGAGGAGTGGCAAAGACTGCAACCACCCTGGTCAGCGGCGTGAGCACCACGTTCTCCGACACCGCCAATTTGGTTGCAAAAGTGCACCACGACTGTGGAAATCCAGTCCTCTCGGCCATTGCAGCTCCAGGGGCTGCGGTTGTAGGAGTCTCAGTCGGTGTTGTCAAAACTGCTGGCAATGTTGCAGTTGAGGTTGGAAACACCATTGTAAGCATCTTCAAAGGGTTTGCTAGCATTTTCTAGATTATTGATTCTCCGTAAAATCATTCCTAAAATGTGTACAAAACGTTTGACTGACAGGTTTTTTAATTAATAAACAAAGTAATTTTTATAATTGAAAACAATCTTAATGTATTTTTTATGACATTTGTACATCTGCTGTGGTTTAGTGCCCAATCAATAATCAATAAATATATATTAAAAATTAAATTTAAAATGGAACAATGAAACAAAAACAATGCTTGGTATTTTACTACATGCAAAATTCCTCGTTAATAAATAGCATAAATTCACATTTATTCGGTTTACCCTGTTAGAATTCATGTTATACGTATCATTGGAATAAATTGAAATTTGAAATTATCAACAGCAACTTTCTGAAAGCGCCGATTTTTAATCTTTTTTGTTCAGCTAATGGACCAAAAACTTTGAATCAAAGCCCCAAAGTTAGTTTGGTTTGTGCCTCTCCATGGGCAGACGCTTAAATTCCACATTTGAAATAAGCACTTATTGATACATGAAGACTGACAAAAAAAATGGATTGTTATCCAGGAGGAGGACAATATAAATTCAATAAAACCACCTAAAACTGAAATGGAGAGTATTTTGAGTAAATAATTTCTGGACTACTGAACCGATTGACAATTTCTTAACTTGAACTAAAATTGCAGGCCGAATTTTACAAAACCATCGTAATTTTAAAGCATCTCATAAATTACACCGCGTTTTATATTCAGAAACAAACGTGAACATGATAAATGTTGCAAGAGCGACGCGTTTGCAGACATAAATCACGATTTGCTGAAATCCCGCACTTTCGTTTTGTTTAGTGGTTGAAGTGGTGCGAGTATATAACGGAGGAAAAATTACCACCACACATAAAGGGAGGTTTATTAGGAAGGAGACAGTCGTGCACATTGATAATAATGCGAGAGCTGCATTAAAATTGCGGCGCCCTCGTCACACACACGCTCGCAAGAGAGAGCAAAGCACATAAATACATTAGTCTGCATTATTCGCAGCCGATACTCATTCATTTTAATCCCGGGCGGCGCCGCGCCAAGTAAGTAAGCGCCTCTTGGGTCCTCGTCGCGGCCGCCATTGTTTCGCGCATTTTTTCCTTCTCATTTTGCCAAATGAGTGTTTATATGCCTTCTTACTTTTCTCTCTCTGGATGCAAATGATGAGATACAGACTTAATTCAATATAAAAGTAGAATCGCTGGGGACTTTTCTTCCTCGCCCGCGGCGAGCATCGAATTTATATATTTCTCAGCGAGATCAAAAACTCTCGAGATGATGGTCGGGTGACGCGAAGCAAAAAAGAAGAAGCGCGCCCCTCCAACACACCAATGCATTCTAATCATTAGTCCCGCTTTTATTTTGCGGCGGCAGCTCTTCTTCTTATTAATCGATTTCCCATCACCGCACACGCAACTGTCAAAAGCTTCAACCGAAATATACAATTTTTATCAGTCCAGCAGAAAAAGAATGAAGCTAAAATACGGATGAAAAATTTTAAATCATAGCCTGGATTTAACTTTGAAAGTTTTTAATTTTTGCAGTTTAATTCACACCATGCAAAATAAAATTGAGACAAATTTGATATTTAATTAAATTTCATAAAAATTGCTGGCTTATTTGTTAAAATTTGTCATAGTTAGGTACCGTTTTGCCGACGCCTAAATAAATGAGAGAAAAAAAATCGTTTTCTTCAGTCTGAAAGTGTTTTTAAAGAAAAATGAGCAAATTTTTCATCTCAGCACTCTCTTTAATTTGAAAAATAGCAGATTTCTAATGCAAGAAACAAAAAAAAGCTCAAAAAAGTCACTTTTAGACAAAATGATAAATTTTGTACTTAAAAACCAAAAACTTGTGTTACTTAAAAGTTAAATTAGATTGGAGACTGGAAGACTGACTAGTGTTTGTAAAATTGACTGAAAATTGAACAAAAAAAGAGGAATGCAACTCTAATAATCTTTTTTTCTTAAAATTTACACTTCGGATTATTATATTATTATTTTTTTTAAATTTATTTAAAGACTTGTAAGCAAAATGGCTTTATTGCGATTGAGACTAATTTTCTGTATATTAACATTTTTTTTCGCTGACACTCGGTTTGTGGAAGAAATGAAGCACGAGTGGTTGTCAGGAGTCGAAAAATTGCTGGCTCGCGATCGCTCATGACTTTCGCAGATCATGAGAACGGCGTTTTTATTCGTATAACAGGGGGCTTATTATTATATTAAACGTGCATTATCGAGGCGCATGTATCGCCTTTGAAAAAAGCACACGATTTTCTATTATTTATTGATTCATGATACATGATCAACCTTGATCGGCTCACAATGCACTCACACACGCTCTCATGTGCGCTTCTCAGCCGCGGCCGACGTCAAATGAAATATTAACTCTTTCTTGCAGCTCGAGAGAACACAGAGCCAGACCACCGGCAGCGACCTAACAAACGTTCGCCGCCAATTCCGCCAAAAAGCAACGATTCCACTTTAAATTAACTTGCAAACCACAAACAAAACTTCATCTTCGTACAAAAAAGGAAAATAAAATTGTAATTTTTTTAATTGTCACTCTATTTATATTCTATAATATTATATTTTTATGTCAGGTTATAACGACCTATCGTCATTCAGGAATTTACTTATTTCTGCTCAGACACAAATTCTTAAATTCTGGGATGCCAGTGATAATTTCTTACCACGATTTCTTTCTAGAACTTTCTATCTCAACAAAATTAAACAAACGCAGAGGCAGGGTTCGTTTCTTGGTTCGGCTCAAAAATAAATAAACTTTGGCAACTCGGTTGAAAATTAATTGATGGTTATATTGCAAAAATGGTGAATATTATAACAATATATTGCAAATGGAGTTAGTTGAAATAAATGTTTTATTTTGATTAGTAATTTGAAAAATGTGTAATTGTAATATTCAACTAATTATAATAAATAAAGGGTAGGAAATAAGGATAGGTTACAGTTTGTGTGCGCACAATAAATCAAACACGGTACTCATCGACTTCGGTGTTCCTCGATGCAGTCCGTCTTGTTCCAGCGACAATGGTGACGTCCTCTCGCTGAAGGGCGGCTTCTGATGTGAGTGGTGGCCCGCGGCGCGACCCAATTGACGAGGTCGCCCGGACACCTGGGTGGTGGTTAGGTGTCCGGCTCGGTATGACGCCCCGAGACGGCTCCGCGAGACCGTTCAGTCGATACAAAACGGCCCCGAGGGGCACCTGAAAGGTTGGGAAGAACCGAGTCAGTGAACCCGTTTGGGAAAAAGGGTGGCACAGAAGTCCCACCGGAATTGGCCCGCAAGGGAAAATTAATTGACACTTACGTTCGTAATGTCGACAGAAATTTAATCGGATCCGACTCGGCACGCGGCCGATCGCTGCTGGGCGAACGCACGCCAACACAAGTGCGTCGCCCTTCAAAGTTTGTGGGCCACTGACCTCGATTGCAACCCGCGGAGAGTGCACGCACTCCCCACCTTTCGGTACCTATCGGCTGCGAGTGCAAAGTGCACTCGCCAACGAGCCCCACTCTCGCCCCGCTGTCAATCCGCCGCCTCTGATGTTGTTCGGCGAACGATTGTGATTACAAATTTTTAGGGTGAGAGGAAGGGTAAAAGTTGGAATTAAAAAAAGTGTATAAAAAAATAATCATTCAAAAAAATAAACAAAAATGTGTGTCTGTAAATTTCGCCCGACTCATCTGCCAATTAACCGTTATACCTCCCTCCATCAAAGAAAATTTTCACAAAGTGGAAATTTATTTCTGGAGTGATGTTTTCTTCAAATCTTTACAATCAAAATCACCAATAATTTTCTGTTGATCATCTGCCAAAGTAAACATATTCTGAGCCTTTTGTTCAACAATTTTAAATGGGCCAACAAACATTGGGACTAATTTTGCAGAAAACCCTGCTCCTTTCTTTGACAAAACAAAATTCCTCTTCATGACTGTGTCGCCTACTCGCAAATCACCCGGCCGTCGGCGCAAATTATAATAACGCGCGTTCTTTTCGCTGGCTGCCTTCATACTTTCCCGTACAGCATCGAATATTTTGCTCAATTTCGGAAAGCGTCTCGCATACTCGGCTACTGGATCGTGCACTATTTCCGCGTCTTCAATTTCCGGCCCTAAATGATTATAAAGCGATGGCTGTCTGCCAAAAATTAAAAAATATGGAGAAAATTTTGTTGTCTCGTGAACACTGGAATTAATTGCAAATGCAACTTGTGGCAAAAATTTATCCCAATCTTTATGATTGTCAGAGACGTGGCTGCGCACCACTGTCTCAAAAACTCTGTTTACTCTTTCTACTGGATTTGCTTGCGGATGATAACGTGGCGTAAACTGGAGGTCAACATTAAATCTTTTCGCGAAATCTTTATAAACTTTACTTCGGTAAATTTTGGCATTATCTTGAATTAATAACTGAGGCGCACCGTAAGTGAAAAACACTTTCTCGAGCGCGATGCTCACTGAATTTGCACTCGCTTCTCGTAATGGAATTAGGACAACGAATTTCGAAAAAAAATCCACAACTGACAAAATGTATTTATTTCCCAATGAACTCCGCGGAAACTCCCCAACAATATCCGAGCAAATTACCTGCCAAGGTCTCTCCACCTGGTGAGAAACCATAAATCCCGCCTGCGCGGCTTGGCTAGGCTTTTGCTGCACACAAGTGCGGCAGTTCGAAACAAAACGAGCAATATCGCTCCTCATCTTCGGCCAATAAAAATTTTCCGAAATTTTGTGGAATGTTTTACGAAATCCGAAATGTCCCGCCTCAGGTGGGCAATGACACTGTCGCATCACATCTGAACGCTGATCTTTGGGCACCACTTGTTTAAATTCAGAGTCCTCCCAAGGGTTCCAACTTTTCACAATTTTAAACAATTTCTCGCCTTCAATTCTAAAAAGTGGAAATTTCCCAGGGTCATTTCTCACCCCTTCAAACAAGTCGATGAACCATCGATCGCGAGTTCTGGCTCTAATCGCCATTGGCGCAATTTTAACCGGCGCGGAGAAAGAACGAGAGAGCAAATCTGGCACGACGTTTAATTTTCCCGGCTTATGGAAAACCTCAAAATCATACTTCTGCAATTTATCGACCCAATTGGCTAACCTGCCCTTCGGATTTTTCACATCGCGCAAAAATTTTAATGGTCTATTATCCGTGTAGAGCAAAAATTTTTTATACGCCAAATATCCCTCGAGTCGCTCAATTGACCACAAAATAGCTAAAGCCTCCTTATGAATCGTCGGGTACTTTTGCTCCGCTGCGCTCAAAACTCTGCTCACGTAAAAAACTGGGTGCTCTT